GCCACTCAAGGTCTTCAAAGGCAAGAAGCAAATGAAGAGCCTGAGTTAAAGGCACATTTCAGCTCTTTGGAGCTTACTTCTGTGATGAGATTACAACATACTAGCACATTGTGCAAGTAATCCGGATTTGTAGTAACCTTTTCAACTAAAACAAGCTGCCACCCTACTAAATATCACTGACATACAGCAAAATAGAGGCCACCCCGTAACTACGTACTGATTCTCTTCATGTCCATGCTGATCGTGACAGCAAAAACAGGAGAAGAGAGAGAAGGAAGAGAGGGAGACATGAAGAATCCAGGTGAGAATGGCTAGATGAGCCGCTGCGGCCCTGAGCTCGTTTGCACCAAGTACTGCACTTCTGCAAGAAAACACTTGCTCACTGCTGGCCCTGCCATGAGTGGCCAAGTGGATGAGTTTCATGCTGTAATGTGAGGCCAAAGCAAAATTAACCTCTCCGTTATCATCATGCAGAGGAAGATGAATTTAATCAAACTTCACTACTTTCCCTCAATAACGGGCTACCTTTTGTGACAAAGAATCTCCCCTTCTCTCCCTGACAGTTCATCAGTTAATATTGCACATCTGATTTCATTTCTCTGCATGCTTGGCTGCCCAACATCCCAGAACACAAACACCTGTAATGCCTCATCCCCTCTCCCCAAGAAACCCACATCAAGCACCGATCAGAAAACCAGCAGGCAGCGATTTTCAAATGAGTCCAATTCCCACGCTGCGCTGAAACCCCTCAGAGTCCGTTTCAAACCAGTCGCATCTTGGTAAGACAAGACTTCACTGTGGATCGGGGCTATTCTGCTTGGCTAAACCAGTGGCCTACACGAAGCTCAGAGCCATGGCAAGCATGACTGTTAGCCCAGTGAGCCCATGGCTTGGGTTTGCAGGGCAGACACAAGCACATATGCACAAACTGGAAATGCAGGTGCATTATCTTTACATGGAGGGCACTAGGTAAATGTTTGGAAATGCAGAATAACAGCCACTATCAATCAAGAGAGCAGAGAACAGATGGGAAGGAGGCTGTGTTGAGAGAAAGGATGCAGAGAGGAACATGCATTTTCTCCCTCTCCTTCCTTGCTCTGACAACGATTCTGGATACGCTCATGCAAATCCCCGGGTATGAGCGGCCCCATCCATGTATTTCAGCACACACTGCCCAGCCCTGGCTGCTTCCCCATGCTACCATGGCAAAATCACAGATACCAATGCATGCAAAATGCTGCAAAACCAGAAATATGCATTTTCCCCTCTTTTTGTTTATTACAGTGTATTTCTTTCCTCCTAAATTATTCCACTCCTTCCCCCAGCTAGAGAACGTTAACTCCTAAACATTTCTTCCAATTAATCCTTCTACTAAGCACAATGGCAGTTCCATCTCATCCTGTCATCTTCAGGCAGGTTTGACAACAGACATGATGCTGGATAAAAAAGCTTCTTAATGGCAAACCTGAAACACCTCCTCTTGAACAAAAAATCAAAGCTAGCTAAACTTTTTTAAAAATTTTTGAAAAAAAAAAAATATATATATATAAGTTTTTAGAAGAAATCAACATTTACTTGGTGGCTGCTATTTTATTGAGGAAAACAACTCCTAGAATTCCAGGTTTCTCTCCAGTATTAAAAGTTCAACATCAGAACTCCAGTCGAGATTTATTAATGGATATCGTAACAAACTCACTTCATGCTGCAGATACCAGAGGGCACATATTTTGGGTGATGTTAATCTTAACCAAAACAATTTAAAAATATTAGCAACTTCTGCATAATTCTCAATACAAAGTGAGTTCCAGATTCTCATCCACAGTAACATCATTGTACACTATTTTGGTAGCACAAAAGAGCCTTTAAAATGGAAACAAGCTAAGGCCCTTCACATTCCCGGATCCTGTCACTATTTGTGACTTGTTATTAATAACACGCTGTAAGTACAGTACTCAGAACCTAAATATTGAGAGTAACAAATGCACACACAAAAAGCATTGTGCGCTAGGGCGGGATTTATGATCTAGGCAGTTGTTCCCCCCCAGCTGAAGCACAGTCTGTTGCTGAACTGTAAGGGTTTAATTCTTGCTCCTGAAGACCTGCAGGTGGGCAGGGAGCATTACGCCACGGCAAGCCGAGCAGGATGCAGCCCCTCGGATTGTACATCCCACAGAGACAGGCGATATTACCCTCCAGCCCCAACTGTGGGGATAGGTCTTTAAATACAGTAGAACCATGATGGCTTCCCCAGGAGCGACATAAAGTAAGTATTTATCTTCTCAGCAGTGTGTGGGCAGACAACTGATGGCGTATGAGAATATAACCGGCAATACAGATTCACAAAGGCTGGAAGCCAGTCGTGTGAAATTGGTAGTTACCAACCCTGGGCTGCACGGTGAGCAGGGGGAGAGGCTGAGGAATTGATCCGTGCTCGGATGGGACAGAGAGGGCAGCTGCTGCTGTTACCCTTTCTCAATGAGCCCAGTGAGTTGGGAAGACAGCCATGAAAGAAACTTGGACTTACTACCAAGCAATTTACAATAGTCTAGACAGCCAAAGCATTACATATTCCAAAGCTACTCAATGTCCTTGGAAAAAGAAGAAAAGGAAGCAACCATATTTTCCATATTTTCTATATTTTTTCCATATTTTTTCCTATATTTCCATTTTTTGGCATTTTCTTCTGATTATTTATGAAAATGAGAGAAAGAGCAGCATGAACTACTTACCTTGGCTATTTGGACACACCAGTTCAGCAGAAGTTGGGAGCCAATATTATCCTTATGCTCATGAACATAATCCAACAGGCAGCCGTGAGGCATCAGCTGAGTGACCAGTTGAATGGTTGGGCTCAAGCAGACACCAAGGAGTCTCACCAGGTGCGGGTGGTCCATGCTGGCCATGATCAGGGCTTCCTGGAACAACAGAAGGGACCCAGTTACTCCACTATGTCTCAAAGCTGTATGTATAGCATTCCTGTTCCCCACGAAGCATCAAAAGGAAATCAGCACCCCTAAGCACCACAAATTTCCATGCTTTTCCAGCATTAGACACTCCTAGAAAAAACCTGCTTCGATGCAATGCATGTTATATGGTCCTAAACAACAGGTCAGAGTATCTGCAGAGCTCCACCGACACCAGGAACTCAGCATTGCCTTAGATTCCCTGTTTTGTTACATACAGCCACAGAACTGAAGGTGCAAATGTGACAGAGTTAATTTACACTTCTAAGGACACTCTTTTTTGTTTTATTTCCCTGAATTCAGCCTCTTGAAATTGTCTTCGGGTTTGTGGTCAATGCATCAGGCCTCAACTAACGTTTTTTTTCATGCATATAAACCATGCCACTTGTAGATAGTTCTGTCTCCAGTTAGGTCTAATTCTGCAAGGGATTTGATTACACCGTGCTGAAATGCTTTACTGGACCAAAGACTTAATGCTTACTGTTTTACAGGCTTAAGCATTTAGTATTTTTAAGCTACAAGATGATGTTAAAGAAAAATTTCCCAAAACAGAGTTCAGCCTGCAAAAGATTAAGAAACATGAGGTATAACGTGGGGTTTTCGAACGCGTCTGACGCAGCCTAGCAGGGCATATTCCTACTTAACAGATGTTGCCACAAGTGGAGCAGTACACAAGCTCCCAGATTCAGAAATCTGACCCTTCTAGCACAACTCCTGGTCTTTAAAAGGCCTCCCCAAAGCGATCTTGGGTGAACCACTTCATTTTTCCAAGCTTCAGCTTCTCACCCATTGCACAGGCAATAACACTCCTCCTTTTCTCCTACACTCCTTCTCCTTTCTCCTTCCCAGACCTCAGGCTTGCAGAGGTTTTCAGTTAGCTGGCTGTCCAATACCAAGCACCAGAAGGACTTAACCTTGGTTAATGCATTTGGTCCCAAAATCTTATCTACGAATCTTCCACAGCCTGCAAGAGATACATGGCCAAGTACCACAGGACTTGGTACCACCAAATACCAACTTTACTTGTAAAAAACTCACACATTTGTTCTCACAGGTAATGCTGCCATCGCGAGCAACTGGCTTTCAAAAAAAAAAAAAAAGGCAGGGAAAAAGCTCTTCTCTCTCATTCCCTGAGCTAAGTCCATCATTTCAATACAGATTACTTGCTCTGGGCAAAGAACAATGAGAGCTGAGGGGAAATGCAGGCTTTGTGAGACTATTTTGGCACTCTCTCCTTCTCCAAAAAAGAAAAAAGATACAACATCTTTCTGACAACTTAAAGATCAGCTATAATAACACCAGAGAAAGAAGAAGGAAAAAAAGGATGAGAAAAAGTTGGCAGCAGAGGAACACAGCATCTCCCCTTTCCCTCCCCTCCTTGCAACTCATAAAACTATTTTTTTCCTCCCTATATTAAGGGAAAAAAAGTCCTGGCAAGTAAGCTAAGTTTGTATTTAAAGAAAATTGCTCATCACAGTATAAAGGATATTTGAAACCAAATTGCAGAGTATTTGCATAATAGTTCTCTTTCTTTCCCTTTTCTTCGTTACGATGAAAAGATGTACAAGACTAATTGTAGAGTCCCCCTCTCCCCAAAAAGAAAAGAGCAGATGGTCTCCACTGGGGAGGGGGGAGAGAGCATCTTCCTTCTCCTGGCATGCATGGGAAAAAGAAAATAACTAAACAAACAAACAAACCCATAAGGGCTATAAGATGGGGCGGCTGGTGGAGGAGCACCAAAGACGACTCAATCCTGCAAAAGAGACAGGGGATCTTCATTAAAGAAGTTTTGGTCCTGTTCAAATTGATACAGTTCTCTCTTTCTTGAGTATGTCCAGGGTCTCCTTGAAGCAATCTTATCCTCCTTCTGCTGTCACCAGAAAATATCATTGAAGGCCACCAGAATAAATGCATGTTGACAGGTGCATTATCCCATTTCAAAGACGACAACTCCTCTACCTCCTTTTTTTTTTTTTTTTTTTTTCACCCATTCATTTTTCTCCTAGAGATGCACTGGGGATAGTACTTGTTGTTCCCTCTCACTCAGAGTTAAGAGTTGCTTCAGGAACTACTTTTCTCGATAATCAGGACTGATTAGAACATGGACAAGATACTCTTTTCACTCACCAAGGGCCCAAATGGAAAGCTTAGAAGCATGTGCTCCATTAGTCTCCAGCTACAAGCCATTTATAAGTCTATCTGAGTCAAAAGGAAAGACACTTCTGTACAATAATAAAAGCAAGCAGTGTCATTTGTCTCATTCTGGCATTACAGGAAAGCACCTATTCTTGCACTGGATTGGGGCAATGGCTCTGGGAAAAAAAAGGTATTTTTCAAAAAATATTATGGTGTGCTCTGTAATGAATCAAGACATGCAATGTAACAAAAAGCAAGAAAGTTTTCAATAAATGCCGAAGTCCCTAATGGATGTTAAGTTACCACAAATCCTGCCATCGCATAGTTGTTATAATTAGTGAAATTATTAATTTTATTGCACTAGCTCCTGCAGGAGAACTCAGTTCAGGGTTATGTGTATAAAGCAAACACACACAAAAAATTATTCTGCTAGAGACTAAATAGACAAAACACATGAGCAGCAGCAACAGAAATATTAAACTCAGTGGCATTTTTTAAATCTATTCTGCAGCTAAGGAACACAGGCCTCGCTTTAAAATCAGTTTCAATGCTGAAGACCCTAAAGCCCCAATTTCCATGGTGTTTAGGCACTCTGCAGCCTGCCTGGCTCCTAATTACATTTTCTGAAACACTTCATCAGGTAAGGGATCGAACTCTCCGAGTCAGCTGTCTGACGGCGGCATCCTTGAAAACCTGCTTCTGCAATTTCCCTTATCTTTGGTAGCCTTATACCCACAGATCTTGTCTCTGCACTCAGTTGGCAGAATTACAGGAATGATCTTGAAAATAGTACTTATCATCCCAATTTAACGAAGAGGAAACTGAGGAAGAGAATATCACAGCCTGGTATCCAGCCAGGTAGCAATGCTGCTTAGAGTAGAAGTGCGAACGGGGCTCCAGGTCACTTCATCTCTCTGCTCTGGGAAAAAATCCTCTGAAGTTGGAAATGAAAAGGAGAAAGAGGGGAGGGATGAAGGTGGGATACCATGTCCTTGTGCCAGGAGTTACATCTTTTGTGACACCCTTGTGCTCGTATCAGAGGCAGGGAAGCCCTAGCAAGCTTCTTGAGCTCGCAAGAGCGGCCTGTCACTGCGATGATACAGCACAGAGTTACATCCAAGCTCGAGGCGCCTGTCCACAAAACCCACGAGGACAATTAGGCCCTCACTTCACACAGCTCCTCTGATCCACCTTCCTTCTTTAGATGGCTTTGAAATCCCAGCTAAAAGGGTATCTTAACCTGCCTACCCTGGGCAGTCATGTTTGAAGCAGCTTTTATTTCAGTGAAACTGCTGCAGTGTAACTACAAATCCAACCAAGACATCTCCTCCGCAGACGTATCCCACTCTGAATCGCTTCGCAAGGAGCAGAGCAGCACTGGGTCAGCACCCCTGCCGAGGCCAAAACCAGGCCCTAAGGGAAGCATGGACATTCTAGGGAAGCACGGACATATACATCAGTCAAGAGACCTCCCCTCAGCTCTCTACGGAGGGTTTCAGCCCTGTTAATCACTTGTGCCGTTGCAGAGTCCTGAGCTAAGCCGGATGAACATGTGCATCTGATCAGAACTTGGCAAGCAGCGACAAGGTCTGAAAAGTCTTTGGTTTCCTCCCCTTCAGCTTCTGTCTGTCTTGCCATAAAATACCCCAAATCAAACAAAACATAAGAAACCACACACACAAAAAAGTTTCTTTCTAATCACTGCCAAGCAAATAAAAACACTTTAAAGCTGACTTCTTACTATGCTGTGCATTTTTCTGTAAGCACTAACTGTGCTATGGTGACAGGAAAAATGCTGCAGTGAATACACTGCTTTTTTCATTCATTTTGCAATGCTTCAAAGGCTAAGGCGAAGAAACCCGCCTGGAACTCATGCCTCACCTGCCTCAGGGCAGATCCAATTACAGGCCAATATATTTTGAGTGTGTTTTGCTTGCAAGCCTCCTTGCAGACATACTCCAGTAGACCTTACCAAACTTCTAGGTTACAGCTGACTTACCCATGCACAGTCTGCATAGAAACTTTAGCAGGCTGACAGCACAACACGTACACCCAACAACATACATGGCTACGCTTATGGCTATGATAGTCTTTATTAAATTTCTCCTGTACTTCCTATGCCAGATGCTGCTTTCCATCACTTTACAGCACTGCTGTATTTCCAACCTGTGGGATTATATTTTCCCTAGGCAGGCAGGTGTTTTTTGGGAAGCTGCTGCTGAGATGCCTCAGCCATTTCTCAAAATGAAAGGAGAGCTGCAGCTACAGGGCCCAACAGAGGATACCAGTCTTGCAGCAGGCGGCAGCAGAGGGAGGACAGCAGCATCACCAACTGCCACAGCTGCTTTTCCAGGAACTGCCCTGTAGTCATCAGAGGCAGACGCATTTATCAGGGTGTTTTCAGGCAAAAGTCTTAGCTGAGACTTGGCAATAGGTTATATAACCCATTTTCCTGCTGTGCAATAGAGTCTGCAGCACCTGAGCGCTGCCCGGGCAGGCCCGGCGCTGAGGCGGCAGGGCCGTGGCGGCACGACGCGCTCCGCCTTGCGCCACACGCGCAGAGCTACACAGCCTGTCACAGTCATTTGCTGGCCCTGCGCCATCCTGAGAGATGAGGACTCAGGAGCAAATGAAATAAAATCTTTCTGTAAACCCACGTCCATGCCCCAAGCAGAAAAGACAGACAAATGCTTACGTATAAGCAGGTAGTTTCACGTGCGGTTGTTGCGTGGAGGCCTAACAACACACACTCAGGTCCAAAGCCTTTACTCACACTCAAGTGACAGATTTTTCTGTGTAGAAACATGACGTCTGCC